AATCACCGCACTGTACAGTGGTGTCTCATTGTTCCCTTGTGCTCCCTGTCAATCTGTCTGGGGCACTTCTTGTCTTATCCTTAGACTGTCACCTCTTTGGCCAGAGACCACCTTTGTTTTTCTGTGTCTCTACAGCACCTGGCAGAGTGGTCTGGTCTGTGGCTGGGGTTTGGAGGTGCTGCAGGAATACAACTAGAATTAAAATAGCTGCAAAAGGGTGGAAGAGACTCTGTGCCTCATAAACCATGGAGAAGCTCATAAATTTAAGTCCGTTTGTTGACAAATTGGAGGCAGTCTTAATCTTATAGATTCATGGGTTTTACAGTCACCAGGGACCATTGTGATTATCCACTCTGATCTCCTGTATCACGCAGGCCAGAGAACCTCACCCAGTGATTTCTGCCTCATGCCCTGTAACTTGTGGTTGAGACACTGTTCTATCCGGGCCATTCACGCCCTGCCCATCAGCACGGCCTCTGGGAGTTGTACAGCACCTAACAAGCTCCATTGCCAGGCTCTCTTGCTTGCCTTACCCGGGGGTGCTGCATTGCTTTTATACAGCACTCAATGTCAAAATCTAGGCTCTCCTGTGGTGTTAAGTCAAATGCCCCCCGGCAGTCTAAGGCCTGGTCTCCACTTTACGGTTAGGCCGATAGCAGTAAGTTCCTCCCCTGGCCAGTGGAACTAGGCCAACCTCACTCCCGGGCAAGGCACAGCTGGGGCGATGGAGGAACGCACTGTTGAGGGAGGGAGTGTTCCTACAATGCTGGGAAAACCCTTCCGTGGGGGTGGGCTGCAGTGATACTGCAGGGTTCTCCCGGCACAGATATGGTGATCTAGCTACGCCCCGTAGTGCAGACACTCCCTCCGTCTGTCACACGAGCCCAGTTCCCTTCCTCGCCCCGATCTGCGATCTCGTCAAAGAATGTCGTCGGGCCGTTCAACGAAGCCATAAAAGCTTGTGTCCTGCTGTTATCGACGCTCCTGGGGCAGCCCCAGGGAAGCTCCGGCAGCTCAGAGAGGAGCAACACACGGAAACAGGGGGGCTGGAGAGCGTGACTGAGGGGAACTCAGAAGCGCCAACCAGTGACCCGTGGGCGCCCAGGAAGGCTGAAGAGCACCGGGCGGACGGCCTGAATCTCGCCGTCTTTGGCAGCTTCTCCATGTCAAGTGGCCGGACAAGACCAGAAATGAGTCTATTCGACGCAAACTCTGCAACCGCCTCCTTTGGCGGTTTCGGCAGCTCTCTTGCTAGGGACACCTTGTCAGGCTGGAAGACCAGCGGATCCTGAGGTGTGTTTGCCCAGGCCACTACATGGCTGGCGAGCACGTGGTCACCAAACGCTTTGGTGGAACAACCAGATTGCCGCTGATGGACATAAACTGACCTGCCAGCAAGATCAGCTTTCGGACCCAGCCAGAGATCAGTCCAGGATGGCTCTGCAAGGAGCCCACGCGCCTTTGGGGGTTTGCCACGGTGACGGTGAAGCGAGCCACCCATGCCTCGCTGGGCTGTGAGGTGGTGAAGGCAGTGGTTTCAATCGGTGGCCAGCAGGGGACCCCTGGGGGTCTGCAGCCTAGGGCTAAGATTTCTGAAGGGGTCTGCACCCCCATTCAAAATTTTGCAGGGGTCCGCAATGAAAAAAGGTTGATCACGGCTGGGCGAAGAGCCAGGAGAACCCAGCCCATGCGACACACCAAGAGGAGGAATTAGTTAGGGAGGCGCAGGATGTGTATGTGTGGGGGGGTGATGAGGAGCTTTGGGATGAAGTGAAGACGTGGAACAGAGGCTTGGACTAGCTGGGGAAACTTCCTGGCAGCCAGATGGGTGCAGCTGTAGAAGGGTCTCTCAAGGGAGGGGACAAAGGCCCCGTTGCTTGGGCCACGGACTGGTGACAGCCCTGGCCAATTACAACAGGGACCTTGGCTGTCTGCATGGGGTATGCCCGGTGACACCCACTGCTGCTCACTGCAGACGTTGATGGGGTGGCATGACCCGGATTAGGAGTGGAGACTCACTGATCCAGCTGGCTCCGCGGAGTGGACGGGGGCGGATCTTTGCTCCCCGCTGCACAGGGCACCCCTGACCCAGACCCTCCTCCTGGTGCCTGGGGCGTCCGCTCACCCTCCCTCAGCCGGCTGGAGAATTAGCTGAGCGAGCAAAGCTGCGGAGCTGAAGCAGCATCGCTCAGAGATTAAGCCTGCAGGCCCCACTGCACGGATGGCGCAGGCTGTTCCCTGGCCCCGCTTGGCGCACCCTCGGCCCTTCTCGCTGGGCCCATCCTCTTGGGCCTGATCCAAGCTCCTCCTGCTGCATGGCATAAGGAGCCTGAGAAGGGCACAGCCCAGGATCTGGGGCACGCTCACCCCCACGCCACTGAGGGCACCATTCCTCTGGGATGACTTGCCCAGCCTGCAAGCCTCTTGCATGCCTCACTCGGGCTGGTGCCTTCGGGATGCTCTGGGTCCATGGCCGAGGGGACGCACGTGGACACAGCGCCACCTCTTGGCCCTCAGGAGAATCTGGGCAGCACCAGATGGTCTGCTCAGGGGAGGTGGGGTGGGGCTGAGCTCTCCTGCAGGGTGGGGACAGGTCAGGGGCCTCAGCAGCATCGTGGGACCTGCTCCATTTACCCAGCACAGCCAGGGCTGGGGACGAGGCAGGAAAGGAGCCTCGCAATGAAGAGAGCCAGAGCTAGAGCAAGGGATGCCCGCCCCACACCCATCTCCACCTGGCCCTGCTCACTGCGGAGGCCAGGCAGCTCTGGTAGCTGGTGACGAGTCCCCATGGAAGTTGCATGGGGCAGGGTGGTCGATTTGAACAATATACCAAGGCCCCCGGGGGTGAGTGAGGGCAGCTGGGCCAGAAGCAGGATGCCAGGCCCAGAGGGATGGGGTGAGGGCCGTGGAACATACAGGGAGAGCCCAGCACATGGCTTGTGCTGAGCAGAGGGGTCAGTATGCAGGAGCCAACCTCTCTAGGGGATCGATAGACGCCCACTGTGACCAGCTTGTCTGATCCCCTGCCTAACGCCAGCCAGGGCACGTCCTGGAGTAATTCCTGTCTGAGCGAAACCAGAGCTCGTAGGAAACCAGCCCGTCAGGATTTAAAACAGCACCAGGGAGGGAGAATCCCCCGTACACATTGGAGAGTGGTTCTAAGAGTTAATTACTCTCATAGTTAAACACTGACACCTTATTTCCAGTCAGACTTTGTCCGGCAGCGCGAACACGCAGGAGTCTTGATCCAGCCTGAGCCCAGCTGCAGCTCAAACACAAGCCAGAGAGCGAGCGCGGTGGGGACACCAGGGCTACACACTTGCATTCCAGTGTCTGTTTTCTCATAGATCTGTAACTCTCCTGTGCTCAGCTACCCAGGGAGCTATTGGGCAGGGCTGCTCCTGAACAACTGTGTGGACAAGGCCTGAGAGCAAAGGGCCTCTGTAGAGCCCACGGGCTGCTTGTTGTAACTGGCACATGGGCAGATTTGGAAGAAGGGGCACTAAGGACAGAGTAGGGTCTAGGGAGTGGGACCTCCTAGGCCCGCTGCCCAAGAAGGGGCATTAGATGGGGAACCTGCAGCCCGGGCACATGCCAGAGCAGCCAGAACTCAGAGCAACCCCTGGAGCCAGGGGGCTTGGAAGCACCCAGGCCCCCAGGATTGGGTCCAGCGTCAGAGCCTGGTGACTGGCCACAAGGGGCCCCACCCAGCGCTCAAACAGCCGCAGACAGTAGCATTGCTGGGCCTGGTGCCCGCGGGCCGTTCCACAGAGCTCTGTGCTCCTCCCTGCCAGCAGCTCCCATCTCCCCCCACTTTCAGTTACTTCTCTTCCTTCCCCAGGGCCCTCAGCCAGCGCTAACCAGGCCTCCTGGGAATTCTAGCAGCAGGAAACCAGGTTCTTTGTACCCAGGCCCCAGCCATTGCCCAGACCAGCTGAGACCGGGGCGTACCGAACACCGGGTCCACCCTACTGCCCCATGCAATAGCTACACCGCTCCACCCACACCCCTGGGTGCTGTAGCCAGGCCAACCATAGCCCCGGGCATAGACCATGCTAGGTCAACATAGCCATTGCCTCAGGTGGGGTGGGGATTAGCAATGACAGAGAGAACCTCTCGTAGCTGTGGGGTAGCAGTTCCCCTAAAGCCCCATAGCTGCACCAGGGGGCCGTACTGCTGAAGGTGAAGACAAGCCCCGAGAGCATCCTTCAGGACCTGGAGGTAAGTTCATACCAGTTGTGTATAGGCCCCACATCTTCCCCTAGATCATCCTCCCAAGGGCTACACAACCAGGGTGCAGGGCAGAACTTCCGCCAACATGAAGTTGTCGAGATCTGTCTGGACACCGCTCTTATTAGAAAGGGGTGTGTGTGTGTGTGAGGATCTCTGATCAGAGACAACCTGCTGCCCCCTAGCTCCTTAGTAAAGGGCCAGCCCTTCTGACATTTCTAGTCCCAAGGATTTGCTTTCATCCCCATGCAGAACAAGAAATGCACCCATTGGGGGAAGGTCTGAGCTGGTGTATTTTACATCCTCAAAACACAGCTCAGCCGGCATTCAGGGGCTGGACCTATCCCTTGCCAATGCCCAGTTTGGGGGTGTAGTGTTGTAGCTGCCTGATGTGCCAGGAGAGCAGGGGGTGGGGGATGCATGAGTGAGGGGAGCTAGGGGCAGAGTTCCTAGAACCAGGCAGGAGAGGATGCTGCCGCTGTCTGCATTACCCAGACCCTGCTCTGCAGCCCCGCTGCAGTCAAAACATTCAGGGCCCCCCCCCCCAAATCCATGAGCAGGGGATGGAGCCAGGCCTACATGCAATGATCACTCACACCCACAGCCACCCTTAGAGCAGACTGCCCAAGCCCAGCTCAGTTTAGGACAAAAGGTACCCACCCCAAGGAGCCTCTGGCTGGGCCCAGTTCTAGCTTTACAGCCCCAGGGGCTGAGCAAAAAGGCCATTTCTATCAAGGCTGAGACAAGCATACAGACCAGGGCTAGGACAGTTTATTTTACCAGATTCTCATACATAAGCTGCAAGCCAGGGGAAGGGACACCTGCATTTCTAGGGAGTGCAGGATGGAAGGGATCAGACAAGGAAGTAGGTAGCTGAGGGCACCATAATTAAAGGGGACCTGCCCTGGAACCTAACAGAATAAATACATCCAGCCAGTGAGTCACTGCCTGTTACAGAGCTCAGATCCCCAGGGAACCAGAGGGATCTCCCCACAGAGCCTGCTGGAAGAGAGGAGCATTGAGACAAAGTCAGAGGGACATTCACAAGGGAGGGGTTGGGTGGGGACTAAGCTGGTTCCATTGTGTCTTGTCAGGATTAGCAGTAACCAGACAGAATCTGGACTCTGCTGGCTAGAGCCCAAAGCAGGGCAAACACACCCTGAGCAGAAATGTTTCCTGTATAAGCCAGTGGGCTGCCAGAGGCTCCTGGCTGCTCAGAGCAGGGACAGGAGAGCAGGAGGCAGGAGCAGCAGGACAGCCCATGGTGCAGGAGAGGCATCTCTCCCGTTCTGGGCGTAGTACTTGGCCACGGCCACATTGGGATTCCCATGGGCAGGGTCGAACCACATCTGGATGCAGCGCCCGCTGCCCCGGTGCTCCAGGGTGTATTTGTACGAGTTGGACCAGATCTTCTCACACAGGTCTGCTGGCCGGGGGAAGACATACTTGAATGACTGGCATGTGGTGCCGCGGGGGCACCGGTTGGTCCCTGGAGGGGAAAGGAGGGAGAGAGGGTGGCAGTGAGTAAGTGTGGCTTGACTCCATCTAGCGAGACCTTCCCCATCACTGGCTGCTAGGCATCCACTGGTCCCAGGCTACTGGCTGAGCGAGAAACTGTCCTTCCCTGTGAGGTGAAGTTCAAGGGCTTGTAGCCATGTCACTCACCTCCTGGATTTATCCCTGACTGGCACCCTGATGGGCTGGAGAGACAGATGGAGGCTAGTAAGAAGGAGGAACCCACTAGCCCAGGGGAGCCCAGCTGGGGTTTCCCACCCCCACAACTCTGCCAATGCACCTTGATCCTTCTAGGCCCTCCATCACTCCAGGGGCTGTCATGCATTTATCCTCATGAACCCCCAAGTGCTCTTCTCCTGAATAGACAGGTGGGAAACTGAGGCAGAGACTGAATTAAGGTCACACAGTTAATCTATCAAAGATTAGTGCTAGCCAATACAGGGTCCCAACACTTTGCAAAACTGCCTTCAGCCTTGGCACTAGCGAAGAGGGCTTGTCAAAGGCAAAAATCCATCCAGTCTAGGTCCCAGTACAGGTGCATGCTGTGTTCTATACCAGTGGCTCATGAAGGCAAGAGATTAGAAGAGTCCAGAACAGACACCAAGCCAAGGAAGTGTTACAAACTGGTGGGTTGGGTCTTGAAGTTACTAAACTCTCCACACATGGCTCACTATGCTGCCAGTGTGGCTATACTAAATCAAATCCAGTGGCTCTCAGCCTTTCCAGGCTACAGTACCCCTTTCAAGAGTCTGATTTGTCTCCTGTACCTCCAAGTTGCATCTCACATGAACTACTTGCTCACCAAATCAGACAAAAATACAAGTATCACAGCACATGTAAAAATTGCTGACTTCCTCAGTTTTACCCAATTATAAATGATCAATTAGAATATTAATATTGTACTTACATTTCAGTGTATAGTATAAAGAGCAGTACAAAAAGTCACGGTCTGAAGTTTGAGATTAGACTGACTTCGCTAGTGCTTTTTATGTCACCTGTTGTAAAGCTAGACAGATGCCTAGATGAGTTGATGTACCCCCAGAAGACCTGTGTGCCCCCAGGGGTTGTGTACCCCTGTTGGAGAACCACTGGTTTAAATGCACAATTCCTCCGCACATCTGCTAAGGTGGACATGCTGCATAAAACAAGAATGGCTTGGCAGGAGCAGGTAGGAAAGTCTGTTTGTATTTCACCAGGGGTCTTTAGAGGGAACCACAAGGGTTATCTAGTCTGACCCCTGCCAAGGTGCAGGATTGGTTGCAACAATATATTTGGCTTGCTTATTTGGCCTCCTGAACATTGAGAGAACTAGGAGTGTGGTCAGACAGTGGCCACCCCCTACAGTCAATAGCAGGGAATTGAAGCAGGTCTCAAGTCCCAGGCTCCAAGCACTGGGTCATCCTTCCTCTGTGCACTATCTGCCAGCCACTACTCCAGCCTCAGCCCCATTCACTCCTCTGCCCACTGAAAGTACAGGGGCATTCACAGCCCAGATCTGGGCATCCAGGTCTCCTGCCAGCTCCTTTTCTGCGTGTTCCTGACTGGGGAGCCCCATTTTACACCCTCTGGCTCTGCCCCTAGGATTCCACAGCTGTTCCTTCCTCCAGGACCAGGACCCTAACCCCCTTTGGAGGCAGGGGATACTGGCAAGCAGAACCAGGTATGGCCACAACTCTGTAGAGGGGCACCACACGCCCAGTCGCCATGGGGAGGAAGACCCCAGAGCCCCATGGCCACCTGCTGGGCAGTTCTGCTCACACAGGAGGCAGGTTTCCCGGCTCCTGCTACAGCGTGGGCACCAGCTCCACAGTTGAAGCTGCCCCAGGGTCACTGGACACCAAGTTCAGTCCAGGGGACCACCCACCCTCCTAGTCCAAACCAAGCCAGGGACTGCACTGAGACCAGAGGAGACTACAGCCTCAGCCCCTCACTCCCAGGGTGCTCCTCTCGCAAGCCCCCCACCCAGGGTCTGGAGCTAGTCTGAGGGCTGCTGCCATCAGGGGGCAGGGAGAGGTGGGAGCCCCTCCTCCATCCCTTGGGCCTCTAAGACAGCCCCAAACCCATAAGCAAGGTGTGACCCTGCCCCACTCAGGGTACAGCAGTCCAGCTCCCCCCTGCAGCAGGCAGAGAGTTTGTTCTCGGCCTCTCACTGACCTGAAGTCCAGTTCCAGCCCTTGTGCCAGTTCTCTTTGCAGGTGACGGCATCCTTGCAGTCCTCCCACCACTGCTCGCAGTCCTCCTTACACAGCGGGACGTTGAGGATCCTCTCCCGGCGCCAGCTGGTATCCGCCTGCCAGGACACAGGCTTGGGAGCATCAGGGGGCAGCTCTGGGCCCCCTGCAGGCAACATCAGTCGCCCCAGGGAGCAAGGGTGAGACACATTCTCTCCCCCACCCCCTGATCTAGCACCACTGAACAGAGCCAGTGCGCGTCCCAGCAGAACCAGGCCCAGGGGACGGGAGAGCCTCACAGCAGCCTCCCCGCACCCCTGTGTGGCAGCATCTACAGCTCAGCTGCATCCCAGGCAGGCCACCCAGGCGTCCAGGGAAGAGATCCTGGATTTATTGCAGAGCCCTGGCCAGGAGCAGCATCTGCCATCTTACCTGTTGCCTCCCCAGCAAGCACGTGGCACGAACCCACCTCACCCCGGGACAGAGGCAGCGTCAGTCCCACCGAGAAACCCGGCCAAGCTGAACATTGGAGCCAGGCTCTCTGGGGTCCTGGACAGCAGGGGGGTGGCAGGACCCACGGGGCAGCGCCCGGGGAGGGAAGCTAAAGGAGCCGTTCGGTGCAGCCTCCCGATGTCAGGACGCTTGGAGCGGATTGTCCTGCCCACAGGCAGGGGGCCCTGGCGGGACACGGGGACACCAGCTGACAGTGGAGAATGGGACCTGGGGCCTTCGGCCCAGAAAGCCCGAGCCACTCTGCATGGTGCTAGTTCACGCCTCACCATTTGGCCCCGCCACTAGAGGGAGCCGTGAGCACATGCACCAAGCCAGCCTGCTCTCCCGCCCGCAGCGCCCAGCCCAGCGCCCCCTGACCTGGTGGATCCAGGGCCCCAGGTTGGGCGAGCACTCGTACAGACACGTGTCCTGGATGAAGTGCCGCTTGCACTTGTCTGGCATCACCCCGCAGTGGGCCCAGTTGAAGCTGTACAGGTAGGACTGGGCCTGGTGAGCCCCCGTGCTGGTCTCGGCCGTGCAGCAGGCATTGTCTTTCCACGGGGCACACTGGGAACACAGCAAGGGACGGGTGCGCAGGGGACTCCGGCCGCTCGCCCGGGGGGCAGACAGGATGCCGTGGATGCAGCAGCATCACCGGCCTCCAGTGCTGCACGGCGGGACTGCTCCTGCATCAGACCACTGCCAGGGCCACGGCCAAGGACCGGGGACGGAAGGGCAGGGATGCTATTTTGCCGAGTGCTTGGAGATCTTTAAGTCGACAAAATGCCATGAAGTGGGGAAGCTACAGACTGGGGCAGGAGGGGCAGCTGCCGAGCTGTTATATGGTGTTATTAGGGCCTCCAGATCTACCCCAATTGTGATCCCCTCTGGGGGGACGCTGGGTGAGTGGGGATGGGGGAAAAAGGCACAAAGAGGAGACCAACTGAATTTGTCCAAATGAAAAAGCCTCCTAGTTACAAGGCACCACTTCAATGTGATCCTTGAGTTAAGGAATGTGGGACTAGAAATCTGAACTAAATTCGTTTGTTGGGAACATGTGTAACTGGTGAGCAAAATGGGATGGGCTGTTCTGCCCCTGCCCTCTTTTTTGGGGGGGGGGAAGGTTAAAAAGAACAAAAACCAGACACCCCAGGACTTTGGGAGGAAGATCAGACTGACTGCTGGCTGGGAGATGGGGAAAATGAAAGGTGGGACATGGCTGCCTCCCCCACCATCTTCTGCAATCTGCGGGAACACCTTCCTTGTCCTGATCCCAGGAAAACTTGTTACCAGCCTGGGCTAGAGAGCGAGACCCACCTGACATGGCCACCTTCACTGGCTCCAGCTCAATCCTAACTTTGGTTCCTCCCGTCAGCCTCCCCTCCACACCCCAGTACATCACTTTCCTCCCCCACCTTTGGTCTGCTTTCCTCTCTCTCCCTTGTGCCTTCTGTTTACGAGTCTGGCTTTCCCCACTAAGACTGTATCCTGCAGCACTGCTGGGAGCCTGTGACCAGAAAGGCAGCACCCAGTGGGGAATGCAGATTTGCTGGGTGTTTGGAGCAGCTGATCAGACCATGTGCTGGGCCAGTTTCTCCAGCAGCAAGGTTTCAGAGAGGATAGCCAGCTTCTGTATCTGGTGCTAACTCTTTGATGGTCTTTTCTCTGCCCCTGTGTGTGTTGGTCTGGTTTGGTCTTCTAGGAAATTGGATCTGGCTTAACAGCTCCAGATCATTTCTACTAACGCCTCTTCTCCCAAAAGAGGGAGACCACCATCTCCTAGCTGCCACACAGCAGGGAAGAGAACTCTGCAGCAAAAGCTAACAGGAACAAGGATTTTGTCAAAGTTACAGCCTAACTCAATACTGAGTTTCAAATTAGGGTTGCCACCTGTCCAGTGTTCACCTAGACAATCTGGATTTCAACTTGTATATGAAATATTACCTGAACAGCCCGGATGTCTGGGGTGGTGGGTTTTTTTTTAAATTGGCAATGGAGAGCTGAGAAGGGTCAGGGCCTCAATGGGTGCAGTTACCAGCCATTAGAAAGGTGGCAACCCTCTTTCAAATGCTCCATTGATTTTCTCTCTTTAATATATACATAAAGATGTTTTTAATGGTGACTCTCACCATAGCCCTAAGCAGACTGAGGTCTTTGTACTGAGAACCCCAAACCACATTTAAAACTGTTAATGAGGCCCTGTCACTGTATAACAGCCAGGGGTGCTGGAACAGTTTGTATAGTGGGGGTGCTGAGCCATTGGACCAAACTGTAAACCCTGTGTATGATGGAAAACACATCAAATCAGGAGTGCTGAAGACCCCCTCCCCCCACACCTCCAGTTCCAGCACCTGTGTTAACACCCTCAACACTTGGGCCAGTTTATTCTAGTGACATTAACAGGGACATATCCAAGTTCGCCCTCAGCATCAGAGGCAGAGCTAGGATTGCAAGGCGGGAGTCCTGGCTCCCCAGCCCTCTGCCTCCATCCAAGCCCTTCCCTAGGGCATCAGCAAGGGACAGGCCTCTTTTTAGAGGGATGAAGTAGCCCAGTTCGCATGGCTGCTGCCAGAGAGCTGGGTCTCATTGCCAGCCCAAGGATGTTGGCACCATGACCCTGCCTGCCGCAGCCTCCTAGGGCTGAGAGGACACACACAATTCTTGGTGTCATGAACACCTCCAGTCCCTGCACTGCAGTCCTCCATGGCCCCCCCCCCGAGACCCCGGTGTGAGGAACAAGCATGCACTAGAAAGGATGGCAGGTCCAGGGGACCCAGTTACCCCTCACCTAGAGCTCCAAGTGGTCAGGGGTGGGACTGATATGTCAATAGGACAAGACCCTACCTGGCCATGCAGCGCCCCCTCCGGGCCTGGCTGGATTTTGTGGTGCTTGGCATCCATGCACATGTTCAGCACCGATTCCTTCGCAGCACTGGCCAGGCAGGCAGCCAACAGCCCCAGCACGGCCCACCGGGCTGCCATCTCCCTGGGACCAGAGCAAGGGGGGGGGTGGAAGAGAAGACACATTAGTGCAGCTGTCCAGATGAGAATGGGCGCCACTTGGGTGCATGGCTCCGAGCGCCCAGAGGGGATCCCCAGGCAAGAGCATCTGTGCTGCCTGCTACGGAGACAGGTGCTCTGCAGAGACCCATGAGAGAGCGGCCACAAAGCCTCCTGCTTCACTGGCAGCTTTAATCCCCCCCAAACAGCCCACCCAGGCATGTGGGCAGAGAGTTCTATGGGCCCAGGAATACGTTTAAGGTGGAGTCTCTCCCTCAGTCCCACCTTCTGCCCTGGGCGCTCCCCTCCATGCATTAGGCAATTTCAAACAGCCTGGGTCCCCCACACACCACCGGCAGCACAGCCGAGAGCCAAGCGGCTTCCTGCCTGCTCATGCCATGTGTCTGCTGGCTGGGGTGGGCGGGCGAGGAGAAAGTCTGTCTACACATGCTGCTCCCAGCCCCATGCGTGCCTGTGGCCAATAGGAAGCTGTGGGGGCAGCAGCTCGTGGACACCCCCCAGCCTAGGAGGCTCAGGTAAGCACTGCACCCCCATACCCTCTCCCCAAACTCCATCTACAGCCCCACCCCTTGTCCCAGCCCAGAGCCTGCAACCCACCCTCTGCCCCAGCCTGGCACCTGCACCCAGCACACAAATGCCACCCTAGAGTCTGCACCCCAATCCCCTACCCCAGCCCAAGGCCTGCACCGCAGAACTCCCTCCCAGAGCCTTAGGCAGGTCAGGGGAGCTCTGGGCACTACCAACATGTCTACAAACCTGCTGCCCCTGCAGGAGAGAGAGACCAACCACAAAGCCTCCTGCTCTACAGGAGCTTTTACCCTCTAAACATCCCACCTAAGGCCCAGTGGAGCAGGCACTTCTCCAAACCCTGCCCCCAGCTTGACTGCTTTGCCTTGCAAGGGGCTCTGAGCCAAGCTCCCCATGTCTCTGCTCAGCAGGTACTGGTTTCCACCCTAGCTATGAGCTCCCCTCCACCCTACAGCCACCCATAGGTGCATTCAGGCCACTCCCTTTGTATTAGCCAATGATCCAGAACCAGAGACTGGCTACTGGGTGACTCATCCAGAGAGTCACAGCAATGACCACCGAGCTGGACTCTGGCCAGCCAACACCACTAGCCCCACAAGCAGGCTTCCAGGCATGAAGCCTAGGATAAGATTAGACCTATTAGGTTGTATTTCTTCCCCCTTGTTTGCTCAGTGTTCTTCCAGAGAGGTGGAGGAAGCTAGCCCACGGCCCTGCAGCTCGCCCTGTCTGGTGACTTCAGGCCCCTGGGACAGGGCGACCAGACTGGTCAGTTACACACTACCACAACCTTGGGCTGCCAGGATCACAGGCTGCCAGAGCAGACTCCCAGCTCACCAACAGCTGGTCATGGGAGACTTAAGTCAGTTATTGCTGTTCAGTTCAGGTCCTATTGGACTCTCCAGCCCCTGACATGGGGCTTTTACAGACTTTAGTCCATACAAGGCCTTGCACTTGCTTCCAATTTCTATTTGGGCATCACTTATCCTCCCACATCCCCTCTTGGGGGGGGGGTCTCCTCTCCCCCCACTCCATCGGGGCAAGTGGTTTCCTCTGCCATCTGGTATTATATCTGTGGTTTACTGGCTAAGGTTCCACTATTGCAGCTTTTATAGCAGCCAATCACCCCCAAAGCACCATCTGTGCACCCAGCCCAGGAACAAGGAGACACAGATCACAGCCTAGTGTTTTTTGGAAGCAATGCATCCCCCTCTAGAAGCAAACAGCAGTTACAAAGCTAATCACATTGATACCCAAACACTAGGCCTGAGACACCCACCAGCCCCCCTCCCAACAGAAAACCATGAACTGCTCCTACCTTGCTAGAAAAAAGCCCATCCCAGCTGCTTCAAGCAAATGCTTACCACAGCAGCCAGGCCTCTGGAGTCAGCTTTAATAGCCAAGTCCTTTAACCACAGCTGCTAACCCCTCCACGCAACCGGGTTAATGAGGCTTAATGGTCACCGGTGCTCCTTACCTGTAAAGTAGCAGTTTTCATAACAGCCAAAGAGCTCTGTGTGTTTGCTGGAGGGCAGCTGAGTCCCATGTTAAGAAGACAATCAAGGATTTGATCGCAAAGATCAGATGTCTGCCGAAGCCCTGGCCGAGGATGAGAACATCAGTCCCACCTGCTGGGCATTCTTTGGAGCAGACTTCTTTCTTTGCTCTGCAAATTGCCCCAGAGAAAGGAGCCAGAGAATGCCAAGATCAGCTGTCTAATCAGCTGGGGCCTCTGTCACGGAGTGTGGGGGAGTCCAGGCCCTGCACCCCTCTTCCTGGGATTCACTGAGACTCTCAGCCAGCCAGTAAAACAGAAGGTTTATTGGACAACAGGAACACAGTCCAAAACAGAGCTTGTGGGTACACCCAGGACCCCTCAGTCAAGTCCTTCTGTGGGAGCAGGGAGCTTAGACCCCAGCCCTGGGGTTCCCTGCGCTCCTCCACCCAGCCCCAAACTGAAACTGACCCCCCCCCAACAGGCTCCCTCCTGCAGCCTCTGTTCACATTCCTGGGCAGAGGTGTCACCTCCCCCTCCTGGCTCAGGTGACAAGCTCTCAGGTCTCCCATCCCCAGGGCACATTCCCAGGTCAACACTCCCCCCTCCCTGCTGCGTCACATCATCACAGGGACCGTCTACCACAAAGGCAGGCTTGCCTGGGTGGCAAGCAGAGGCGGATTGAAATTTATTGGAGCCCTGGGCACAAAGAACATTTGGGCCCCTCGCATTCTGCCCCCTGCCATGAGGCCCTGCCCCCTGCCCCCAAGACACACAGAATCACATAGAATATCAGGGTTGGAAGGGACCTCAGGAGGTCATCTAGTCCAACCCCCTGCTCAAAGCAGGACCAACCCCCAATTTTTGCCCCAGATCCCTAAATGGCCCCCTCAAGGATTGAACTCACAACCCTGGGTTTAGCAGGCCAGTGCTCAAACCACTGAGCTATATCCCTCCCCCCAGGCCTGGCCAGAAGCCGGGCTGCTGTAAAAACTGCCCTCGGTTGCTGTGGGGAGCCCTGGACCCTCCACCTGCCCTGGGGGGCACACTCCGTGGGGCAGGGACACAGGCCAGGGGCTGCTCTTAGGCACCCTGGCCCCCCTGCCCAGGACAGGTGGAGGGAGGGCCCATGGCTCCCCAGAGCTGCTCGGGCTCCCTGAGCAGCTCTTAGCACAACCTAGGACAGTGGTTCCCTAAACTGTGGGGTGCACCGCCGTAGGGGGGCACAGAAGAATGCTCGAGGGGGGACGTGGTGGGGATCGGGTCAGCCCACGGCCTGGGGGCTGGTCAGGGAGTGCCACCCGCCCTGATTTGCCCCCAGCTCCGCTCCGTCCCCACCCCAGCCCTGCCCCCATGGCTCTGCTCCCAGCCACGGCTCCGCTCCTGGCCGGGGCCACAGCCACACCTCTGGCCCCGCTCCCGACCGCAGCTCCCGGCCCCGGCTCCCAGGGCAGTGTGGACCAGGTAAGGGGGGCTGTGACCAAAAAAGTTTGGGGACCCCGGCCTAGGGTGACCATATGTCCCGTTTTGGCCTCGGACATCCCAACTTTTTTGACATTTGCCTGTTTGTCTTGCAGCTGACCCCCACCGGCCCAGTGAGCAAACGGGACAAATGCCCACTTTTGCCAAAAAGGGGCTTGGGGGGCAGGGTGAATGGTGGGGCTTGGGCCAGCCCTGCATGGCGGAGGTGGGGGCTTGGGTAAGTGGTTCGGGCCAGCTCCGCGTGGGGCAAGGGAGAGGCTCGGGCCAGCTCCGCGCAGCGGGAGGGGAGAGAGACTTGAGCCAGCTCCACGCGGGGGGCAGGGGGATAGGGGCCTTGGGCCGGCCGTACATGGGGCTCGGGCAAGCAGCTCGCCTATCTCTGCATGGCAGAGGACAAGGGGATTTACTTTCCCTACCACAGCTGTGTCCTCCAGCCAGACTGTGGCAGGGGCATCAAGGGGAAGAGGAGGAGCAGGGCAGAGAAGTAGGGCCGAGAGGCGGAGATAGGGGACCAGGAGGAGCAGAGGATGGAGCCAGAATGCCATCACCTGCAGGGGCCTCCAAATAGGCCGGGGCCCCTGGGCACGGGCCCCATTGACCCATGTGTGAATCCACCACTGATCATGACCGATGCAGCCACCAGGGGCTTTTCTGCAGTGATGGGGGGTGGCGGTCTCCAGGAGCGGTTGAGCCCTGCCCGCCTCTGGAGACACAAAGCTGGGGGAGCAGGCAGCTGGTGTGAGTTTCTCCTGAAGTATATTCAGTATTTTAGGACAGTATTCAGAGCGGCCCCCAGCAACAGATGGTGGCCGCACTCTGAGGCGTCCAAAAAATGCATTGTGAGAACCCTTAGCCGCGATGTCTAACACAGGGTGTGCGGATAGTAGGGTCTTTCAAGGCACCTACAAGTTAGATGTTGCAATGCCTAAGTCCCTCTGAGGATCTGGGCCCACCTATCTTGAGTCCCATCCTTCCCAAGACCACCCTGCCTTGAAACACATCTGATGGACCTGGCCTACATGAGCTTGTACCCCCTTGTCACCGAGACCTAGACATCAGGCCATAGACTCCTTGGAGCTGCCCCTGGGGGAGAGGTGAAGAAAAATAGAAGTTTAGATGCAGCCACGGGGGCTACAAATGTGGGGAATGAACGTGAACGGTGCTGAGCACCGGCAACTCTCATGGACTGTGACGCCCAGCACGGCTCCGGAGCAAGGCCCTCTGGTCTTCTTTGGAGCTGCCCAGCTCGTGGCGGACACAAGCTGGAATAGAGGATGTGACGATGTGACGCAGCAGGGAGGGGGGAGTGTTGACCTGGGAATGTGCCCTGGGGATGGACCTGAGAGCCTGTCACCAGAGCCAGGAGGAAGAGGGGTGCAGGGCCTGGACTCCCCCACACTCCGTGACAACTGGTGGGAGCGGTGGGATGTACTGCACCCCGTGAACAGCGCTTCCTGCAGTAAGTGACTGGGGAATAGTAAAACGAAGGGGGATTGACGGGGACCAGGCGTGCTGAAGATTCAGCTAGAGACAGTTTCAGGGGGCGGTTAACCCCTGGGAGTGTGTGACCAGGGAAGGACTTTTGCAGTTACGGGGTCCCCCGGGGGATTGCAGCGAGCGGTCCCAGAGGCGGAGGAGTCTGCAGCTCGACCCTGGCAAAGAGGTAGTGACCTCAAGAAGGACTGGCACACGAGGGGTTTTTCCTGGAAACGGTAGAAAGCTGCCCGGCCTGCGAGTGGCCAGCAGGGAGATGTACGCTAAACGCTTTAAGAGCGACCTGGTGGAGCTGTGCAGGCAGAAGGGGCTGTGCATTGGGAGGTCCACCACGGAACAGCTGATTGCCCAGTTGGAGGAGAGGGATTGCTTGGATGACTCGATCTCTGTCCCTGAGGGAAGCCGCCCGGCGGACGCAGCGTGGGCCCTGGGGCCTGACCGGGCTGGGAGGGGTCAGACTGCTGCCGAGGACACCCCGAGACCCTTCCTACCTAGGCCTGGGGGAGGGGTTGGGGGAAGCCCGGCGAATACCAAAGGCACCCTGACCCCAGCAGCCAGCAGGGGATCCTCCCGGGGGAGCTCCTCATCCCTCGAGCAGATGTGGCTGGAATGGGAGAGGGAGATGAAAATGAGGGAGCTGGAGGACCATGAAAAACAACGTCAACATGAGGAGAAACAACGTCAACATGAGCAGGAGGAGAAGGAGAGGGAACATCAGGAGAAGGAGAAACAAAGACATCATGAACTGGAGCTGGCCAGGCTGAGGAGCAGTGGGGCCCCGGCTGCGGTGAGTGGGGGGGACCCAAGACTGCAAGGAGCTTTGATAAGTGCTTCCTGGCCCAGCGTAAGGAGGGGGAGGACATAGATAGCTTCCTGACGGCCTTTGAGAATGCCTGCGAGATGCACAGGGTTGACCCTGCAGACAGGCTCCAGTTCCTCACCCCATTACTGGACCCCAAAGCCGTGGAGGTGTACAGCCGGATGACAGGGCCGGAGGCAGGGGACTATGAACTGTTCAAAGAGGCCCTGCCCCGTGAGTTTGAGCTGACCCCCGAGATGTACCGGAGAAGGTTCCGGAGTCAGCGTAAAACGCCTGAGGTCACCTACCTACAACTGGTCAACCGGATGCAGGGATATGCCCGCAAGTGGACAGCTGGGGCCCAAGCTAAAGAGGACCTGCTTGACCTAATCGTACTGGAGCAACTGTATGAACAGTGACCATCCGACCTCAGGCTGTGGCTGGTGGACAAAAAGCTAGAGAACCCCCAGCACGCAGGGCAGCTGGCCGACGAGTTTGTGAACAGTCGATCAGGGGGTAGCCGGGAGGAGTCCCAAAAGAACAGCCCCCCCCCCCCCCGATGCAGAGAGAGAGTCACCATGGGACCTCCCAGCGGGGAAATAGGGAGAACCCCCTCCAAAGGGGAACGCCTGGCGTCGGGCCCCTCCGACCCGCTCGAGGGGACCAACGTGACATGAGCTGCTATCACTGTGGCCAGAGAGGCCATGTACGGACCCAGTGCCCCGGGCTCAGGGACAAACTGAGCAGACCCAACCTACCCAGGGTTAACTGGGTAGGGACCCAGCTGGACGAGGGGCAGACGACCCAGGAAAGGGGGGCTGCCAGTTTACCACCTGCTCAGGAGGGAAGAGTACCCCAGGCCAGCTCCACCAGAGGGCTGGAGGCTCTGGACTCAGGGTGCTCGGTTTACAGGGTGGGCACGGGGCTGTCCCTCCGGAGAGAGTGCCTTGTTCCCCTGGAGATGGATGGGAGGAAGGTCAATGGATACTGGGATACGGGCACGGAGGTGACGCTGGCCCGGCCCGAGGTGGTGGCCCCAGGTCGGGTGGTGCCCAAAACCTACCTGACCCCCTGACAGGGGTGGGCGGGACCCCATTTAAGGTGCCCGTGGCAAGGGTACACCTGAAATGGGGGGCCAAGGAGGGCCCCAAGAATGTGGGGGTGCACCACCATTTGCCCACTGAAGTTTTGATGGGGGGAGACCTAGAGGACTGGCCAAGCAAGCCCCAGACCGCCCTGGTTGTGACCCGTAGCCAGAGCCGGCGAGGGGCACTGCACCCTGACCTCGGGGAGGGTACCACACCAGAGGCGCAGGACCC